AATAGTCATTACAGAAGGTTCTATTACACAAAGGTTGTGTGTGTAAATTCATGACTAGCAAGGTAGCACCAACAACCTCTAAGGCAGTATTGGGAATCTTGTTTGGGAGGATAACCAGGTGGTAACCAGAATTGGAAAGTGGTGAGAAATATGGTGAAACACAAAGGGACCTGTATTAAATAATTGGCCTTATCAGATTTGGAACACCTCTGGCGCATACAGAACTCATTGACCAATAAGAAGTTGAAGCATGGAGGTGTATACATATTGATAAACCTAATAGGCTCTAGTTGTACCTATTTGGAAGTTTTTGAATATTAATAGAACTTGGACCACCAATACAGGTATAGCTAGTATAAGTGAATGCAATGGTAACCAGGGCTACAACTACTGAGAATTACCATAAATAGAAAACAATAACACATCTGTTAAGAACCCCTAGGTCTTATGATCCTATCCAACTATATTGAGTACTGGAAGTATTTGCAAAACATGCCTGGGCAAGTCTCATCACTATATTGAGAAGTACAGTCATTTACATATCACCAAATTTAAAATGTTAAGATCTTGGTCTCAAAGTCACAGGAAACCAGCTAGTTACAGAAGCATACAGGCTTGAAATACTTACCCAATTAGGTAGAGGTAGCTGCATGGCTTGAGATACGAACTTCTGGAAGTACACTAGTTGGGACCGGGCACACCAAACTGGAAGCAATAAGTGCCCACCTGGTATACACCAATTTGGAAGTTAAAATATTAGGTATGTGGATAAAGTGGCAGACATGTAAATACTAATTGGCAGTTGAGAAGGAATATATATAATCCAGGTCAATCACATGTGTGAGAGTGTTGATGACTCTGATAGATTTTAGCCATAGATAAATGGTCTTAGATCTAAAGTCTTAGTTCTAGTTCTAATATATAATATGTATATATTTTAGCACCACCATATGTCAATTTGCTTAAGTATTAATAAAAGTCTAGAGCAGACGCTATACCCTAATATTAAAAAAAATAAAAAATAAAAATAAACTTGTTTAGCACCAAAATCTACATTATGCTGGCATATATTTTTTTTATTTTTTTTTATTTTTATTAATAAAATACTATTATAGTACTATTTTAGATAATTTATTAAGTTAATATTAGGATTGTCAAATCAAAATTAATAGTATTATAATTGTCAAATCAGAATCAATCATGATATATTATTTTATACCAATTTGTACTAATTTTATGCCAATTTCTGTCAAAATCTGTCTAAAGTTAGCAAATAAATGGATTGACAAATAGTATTCAACCAGTATATAATCAGTTTGCAATTAGTATACCTATTTGTATCAATTAAACAACTTTTTACAATTAGTAATTATATTGATTTATCTTTTTTTTACCTGTGTATCTAAAAAGAATAATCAATAAATATTGCAAAAAACAATTATCAATGCAATTTATAAAAAGAGTACAATATTTGCACAACTAGTTTATATCAACAACAGAAAAGGACCCTAAAATATATATGAAGAGAAAAGATTTTACAAAAATTACTAAATTTAGAAAAATCTGCAAAAAAAGTCAAAAATAAGCAAACTAATTACTATAAATAGAAATAATCTGCACAAAAAAGATCAAAAGTAAGCAAACTAAAACTAAACCTATCTATGTATATTTCAAGATCCTAACAGAGTATAATTTCAAGACTAGAATACAGAATACAGTACTACATATTACTAAGAAATTAGCTTGATAAATTGCAAAGCCCTCTGCTTAAGCTTATTAAAAACAAGCCTGACCTAGTGAGTACAAGAGCAAATACATTTCTAGCTTATAGAAATATAGTAGATCTCAGAACAATTTGGATATTATAGAGTTGCACAAGTAGATTGCAAAAGTATAACTGTTCTAGATTTAGAAAAACTAGAAAAAGTTTACTTTAAACAAAATATCACTTATAAAATCCTATACAAAGTAAAAAAAATAAATTTAAATATAAAATTAAAAAAAAGAAAAAGAGTCTAAAGCTAGTGGAAATAAAAGTAAAGATCATTAACCTACTTGAAAAAAAAAGATAAGAAGCTTATTTTAAGAAAAAAATATATATATTTTTGTACTTAAACAGATACTAGATAGTAGAGGCCTGCATTAGGTCCCAAAGCCTGGCCCGGGCCCACCCAGCCTAGTGTGTGGGCCTGGGTGGGTCTAAAAAAAATTTTTATAATTGTGGGCCAGACCAGGCCGAAATTTTGAAAAAATTTATATTAAAAATTTGCGGGCCAGGCCAAAACAGGCCGGGTTTGACAAAAAATTTTTAACTGCAGGTGGGCCCAGGTTAGCAAAAAATTTGTAACTCTAATTGTGGGCCAGGCCTTAAAATTAGAAATTTGCAGGCCTCTACTAGATAGTATAGAGAATAAAATACTAATATAGAGCTAAATAAAGAAATACAAAAGAAAAAAAGTATTAAAAAAAATACCAATCTGGTTTAAAAAAATAAAAAAAAAGTGAGCAATAACAAAAGAAAAAAAGAATAGGTATTGCTACTTAAAGTCAAAAACAAAATAGAAATAGAAAAAAAGAATGAAGAAAACTATTCTAGTAGAGCACTAAAAACATACTACTATTTTTTAAAAAAAGCACTGTTGAGATTATCAAGTGCAAAGAGTGCAACCAAAGCTTAATATCAAACACAAAAATAGAAGCCTGCTGTATAAGAAAAACCAAAAAAAAAACAAGATATTCATAATTAACCCAAAGCTCTTGCAAAAAGTTAATTTTTAAGAACAAATATTGGAACTGTATATTTCACTAAGCTATATTACAAATACAATTCTGCAGAGTATAGAGTTATCAACCACTTTAAAAAGCATTTAAAAATCAAGAATAAATAATATTATTATTTATCTGCTAAAGAATAAGATAATTTATTATATTGGTCTTATGTAACAACCCATGCTTTTTTTAAAAGTTTATTATATGGGTTTATATAAAAATCACATTTTCATATTCATACAAATGAATTTCTTTCAAAAAATTGTAACTACAAATCTATTTAAATAAATATATTCAAAAATTTCAACTAGCTAAAGACTTTATTTTTTTTAAATTGTAACTAGTGAAAGATGTTTTTTTTAAAAATTGTAACTAAGACTTTTTAAATTTGTAATTGGTGAAAACTTTTTTTTTAAATTGCAACTAGCAAAAAACTTTTTTAAATTGTAACTAGTAAAAGACTTTTTTAAAATTGTAACTGGTAAAAGACTTTTTTTAAAAATTGTAACTAATGAAAAACTTTTTTAAAATTGTAACTAATAAAAAAATTTTTCTTTTAAATTGTAACTAGTAAAAGATTTTTTTTTAAAAATGTAATTAGCAAAAGACTTTTTTTAAATTATACTGGTGAAGGATTTTTTTTTAAATTATAATTTGTAAAAAACTGATATTTTAGCTAATTAATGGGCTTTTTTATATTGGCCTAGTATTTTCTTAATTGCTATTTATTTAAAATAAAAGAATATATTTTAAATAAAAATATTATATTTTAAAAAAAGTTAATATAGTTATATTTTCTTTTCAATGATCGCTCAGTTAAAATTTTTACGAAATAATAGTCTTTGTTATTTTGCTGGAGATAGGTGCAAAGGTCTAAGTCACCCCAAAAGCAAAACAGTTTTTATAGAGGTCAACTTTTTACTTTATGGAAACTCCTCTATATATTTAGCAGGCAAGCCAAAAGCATTATTATACAAGATAACTGGTAGAAGGTAGTGCCCTTGTATATGAAATTTTGGTGGATAGGTGGAAATGAAAAATTCAAGCTATCTGTTGATGAAGAAAGCTGCTAAGAAATAACTAAAAAATAGCAAAAAGTATACTTTTCTTAAGCTGCACTTCTTTGCTTTGGCTAAGTGGTTTCTATATTACTTTTTCTTGCTTTTCTGCTATTTTACAAAATTTTTACAAAAAGTGGAGATTTGGCTTACTTTTTTCAAAAGATCTGCATTGCTTACTTTTCTATTTTAGGAAGAACAATGTAGAACATAAACATGCAATTGATGTTTCTATACTATATAACAAATTAATTGGCGCTCTGAATATTGAAACGACCCAAACCAGATACCACTAGTCAGAAGAAATCAAGAATAAGCTATAGCTTTACAATAGAGATATATGATGGTTTTTGAATTTTAGTAATAAGATTTTTAAACTTAGTATATAATTTTTACAACTTGTATTTGGTACAAGCTATAATAGTGCTTTTATAGGTTTTTTTTTTTGCCTTTTCCTTCTTGTTTATTTGTTTTTTTCTTTTGTTTTCTTGTTGCTTAGATAGTTTTTTCTTTTCTCTTTCATTTCATTCTCTTTATCTTTTTTTGTATTAGTTTTTTTTTTTATAAATTAGTTGGAACTATGAATTTTTCTGCTTGGGAGCTAGAAAAAGAAGGTTTAGAAAAGATAGCAATCTTGATAGGCTATAAATATCATTTAGTGATGTATCGAATAATTCACTTGCAAGGTTGTTTGATATAGAGATAAATATTTATTATAGCAAATCGAATATAAGTATTTGCTTAAAAACAACTGGGCTTAAGGTGACTTGAATCATAATTGATATTTTATCTATAAGTTTAATATTGTATCCTAATAAAGTATTGGCAAAATTGCTGAATTTTTAAAAATATATATATATATATTTATAGATTTAATTTTTTTGTATCTATTATTTTGATTATATGATATTATATAAAAAAACAGTAATACTGATATTATTTAGATTAGAGTTAGAGTAATAACTATATTAGTTAGAGTTTAGACTATTATTGCTCAAAAAAAACTTTTTATTCACGAAATAAGTGATTTTTGTCAAAATGAACAGTTGTTATAAATTTTTCTAGTTGTGTAATATTAAATTTGATCGTGAATTTTAGTAATAAACTATAGATTACATGATATAAGTATATGTACCTTTGGATACATATATATAATTCTATAAAATATATACATTATTGATTATTAAAAAAAATTTTCAAATTGATACTAAGTGGCTTCTTAAAGTTAGGGCTCTAAATAAAAATATTATTCATTATTAGTTTTAATATTTTTCATTTTTTACTTATAATTGGTATCAAATCTTGTTCATTATTATAATACTCAATTACTTGTTTTTGGATTATTTTATAATATTTGATTTTGTATCTGCACCTCACTTGCTTTCTGTATTTGTATCTCCTTTAATTCTTGTATCTGTGTCTTTTTTATATTTTGGATCTGTACTTTTCTTACTTCTTGTATTTGTGCTTCTCTTGATTTTTGTACTTGTATCTCTTTTGATACTCATATCTCTCTTGATTGCATCATTTGTTTTAACACATTTTTTTATTATTAATTATAGAGCTTTTAAATAGTTTAAGAAACTTGAATTCAAATTCAAAATTTCTTTGTTTTTTTTTAAACCTTTATTTAAAACATTTTTTTAAAAAAATAATTAGAATTAATAAATAAATTAATTAAAAAATTAAAAAAACTTATTTAAAATTAATAAATTAGATATAGAGTATATAAGTTCTTGATTTTGATTTGATGAATTTGGTATGGGGTTTAAAAGTTTCTAATTTTGATTTGATATACTTGAAACTTCTATTAATGCAGTATCTAAAAGATAAATAAATCTTTAAAATTGTTGATAGTATTTTACTTTTATATTTAACATATAATTTACCCAGAAATAAATAATAAAATTACAGATCTTTATTGTGTACTATATAGGGAATTAATAATGCCATCAAAGACAAATATTGATTATCTATTAAACTACTGTATGCTCATATAGCTTTATGTAAACAATGACCTAAGAATATTATAGCCTCATCTTCAGGAAGTCAAAAGCCTTCAAGATTCTTATTGCAGTATGTTAAGTGCTGTTGTTTGTTATTTTCTTTTATTGAGATTTATTTTTGTATTAATTACTATTTGTTATAGTATTAGTTTGAGCTTATTTTCATCTATATGATAGGCCTTGTACCAACTACTATTTCTTATTTCTAAATAAATAAAAGATAAATAAAAATATTAAAATCTAATTTGCAATTAATAAAATTACAATTAAAACCCTATAATTGCCTAATTTTTTTTTGGTGTATTGTAAAAACAATGCACTAACTTTATAATTAAGTATATACTTAGATATATATAAAAAAATATTTTTAATAAGTGTAAATTGATTATCAATTTAGTTAAGTGAAATTGGAGCAAAATATATACTAGTATAACTATAATACTATTGGTAAAGTATCTTGTTTTGATTGTTTTTTCTCTTCGAAATCTTAGCTACAGACAACTTCATTGTTCAATATCATAATACTCTAACTTGTAAATATCACCTCTTCTTAAACTACAAAGCAATAATAACCAGAAAAAAACTTTTCTAATTAAACTTTCATTATTTTTAATTAATAGATAATCATTATTTAGATATAAAATAATTTTGTCTAATGTTAATAAATTACTCTTTGCTATATTACTATAACTACTATTTTGAAAAGATTTTATTTTACTATTCAAGCATCGAAGTGCTCTGGGAAATGAATACTTGTTCTAAATTCTAATACCACTATCAATTGCAAAATTTTTATAGAGATACCTAGCCAATACAGCATAACAATTATAAATTGATTCTACTTTAAACAGCATACTGTTTTTTTTTTTGTAAGCTAGCTAAAAAAAATATGCAAAAATACATCTAGTTCACCTTTGTTATCAAATTGCTCTAGTGTTTTAGAAATGCTCTTTTTTTTATGAAACTGATTTATATAATATAGTCACTTTAAAATATTTCTTTCTATATTTACAACAAAAGAAAGATCAATTAGATATTGAGCTTTGAGATCATTGACTGAGTGATTGCTATTAGATATTTTTTGAAAGTACAATTGAAATTAGTAAAGAGAAGTTTATTAAACAAGTAAAAGAAAGAAATTAGTAATAACTGTAATACAAAAAATAGTTAATTTATTAAATATGATATATAGTTTGTTATATTAGACTTATATAATAATATGGTTATTATATTGATATATGTATATAAGTTAGTAACACACAGGTTTATAACTAAACCACATAGCCTTCAGCTAAATAATTTAAATATAAACCTATATATAACTAACTTACATACACATATCTATATAATAACTATAATTTATTAGACACTAAAGAACATACAAGTGGCAGAAAAAAACAAATATAACTCAAGAGAGAAAAAAAAATTAGATTCTGTATTGATAGTTCTCTCTTTAACCTGGTAGAAATTTAAGAAAAGAAAAATAAAACTTGGTTAGAGTAGTGACAGATATTATGTAATATTTTTTTACTATACCCTCTACTCCCTCACCCCATGTAAGAGAAATTTGATTGGCTATTATAAATTTATATTTCTACATAAGAAATTTAGAGATCCTCTTCCTCCTCAGAATTAGAGGTCTGATCTAATGAATAGTATATTCAAATATTCACTGAATATTCGAATATTCAAATAAGATTTTTTTCACTAAATGAATATCTGAATATTTAATTTATTCACCAAATAATTCATTGAATATTTATTGAATATACAATATATATATATAATTAATTAACTATAAAATTATTTATTAGTAAATATAAAATTTTTATAAATTAAAATATAAATCTAACATTTTTGATATATTTATTTTTTAATAATTAATATTAAATTAAATAATAATAAATTGTATTTTTATATTTATTTAAATAATTAAAATCATTTACTTTTCTAATTTTATATAATAACCATTAGCTAGTTATTTAATTATAATATTTTTTTTTTTTTTTTTTAACGATCATGCCACATGCCCTGCTTTTATTTATCATATATAGCAATCCAAAAGATTTTTATATTATATCTTATTACTGGAATGTGACTTACCCGGTTATCTATATAGAGTATCTAAGTATTCATGCACCTGTGTGTGACCTGCCAAAGATGATTTAATCTTCCCAGTTTGGTTCAATCTACATTAAGCCGACCTGCCCCAGTTCACTGACCTGGTTTATAAGCCCGTCATGATCACCTTCTTTCCTAACCTTCTTTTCCTAGCCTCCTAGATAGAAGAATTCTATCGCAAGAACAACAGAAAATTTAAAAAAATAAAAGGAAATACAAAAAAAAGAGAAAATCTAAACTAAACGAAACAAAAAATATACTTAAAAGAAAAAATAAAGAAAAGAAAAAAAAGACCGCAAAGAAGACGACTATGATGACACTATTATTGCCTATGCCAGGCTGCAGAAATTATATAATATTGTATAGAAAAAAAATCTAACCTAACACTATATGTAGTGTTGGCAATTCTACCGGCCAAACCAAATTTATTTGCCTTTTCGGCCAAAAATTGGCCAATTTGGCCAAAAAAACATATGAATTTGGCCAAATTGATATTTTTTGGCCAGCCAAAAATATGTATGGCCGGTAAAATTACCAACACTGACTATATGTATTAAAAGAAGTGGAAAAAAAAAATATATATCTAACTATAAGAAATTTCTACATGTGATCCCTCTGATCCCCTATACTGTAAACAGTACTGCTGCCATTGTTTATTTGGAAAAGCAGAATCTAAATAAGCTCGTAGAAGGTTTCATTTCAGTAGACACATCCTAATTTGAAAGGAGTAAACACTGCCAATCTTTTGGAGGGGGTATGCCGGTTTTTCTACTTTTTGGCCTAAATTTCTAAAAAAATCCAAAACCGCAGAAATATAGCAGAAGGTATTTGTAGCAAGTACTTTCAAAATTTCTAAAGAGAGTATTGGAAGTTCAGAACTTTTGTTGTTTCTCCTGTGTTCTTCTTTGAAGTAACAGCCCTAGTGCTTTGTCAACAAGGTAGAAGCTTACTATGAAACTTTCTCCCTTATCAAGATTTTTTACACAAGGGCACTGCTTGCCAGTTATCTTGTATAATAACACTCTTGGCTTGCATGCCGAACGTCCTTTTAGAGGAGTCTCCTACAGATAGTTGACCTCTAGACAAACTGCAACATAAGGCCACGTCTCTTCAACAAAGTTGTGTTTTTCCGTTAGCTGAAATTTTGGTACAAGTGATCGTCAGGAAGAGTTGATTGTTTAATTATAATATTAATAAAGTATAAAATTGGTTTATACTATATATAATATTCAATGAATATTCAATGAATATTCGAATATTTATTCAAAATTTTTCACTGAATATTCAAATATTAAAATATTAAATGAATGAATATTCGAATACAAATTTTTTAACCGAGTTAGACCTCTACTCAGAATATTACGTAATATCTGTTATTACCTTAATTGATGATCCTCCAGTCAACTGAAGCATGATCTTAATAAAATGTGACTCAGATTACTATATAAATTTACTATGATGTGAATGTGGCATATACATATCTAAAACTTTTTTTATACTAAGTTAATTATCTTTCTTGCTTAGGAGACTTTTGTAAAGCTTGTCAAGATGCATCTAATGGTGGTTAAAGCGTCAAAATCGGCCTGGTAAGTACTGAGATATCTTTAAAAAAACCTCTCTTTTACTATGTAAATTTCTTTGCAAACAATACTATTGTTTGACTCTTTTTTGCAAAGAAGTTTACATAGTAAAAGAGAGATTTTTTAAAGATATCTTAGTACTCACCAGGCCGATTTTGACGCTCTAACCATCATTAGATGCATCTTGACAAGCTTTACAAAAGTCTTTTAAGCAAGAAAGATGATTAACTTAGTATAAAAAAAGTTTTGGAAATATATACGCCACATTCACATCATAGTAAATTTATATAGTAATCTGAGTCATATTTTACTAAGATCATACTTCAGTTGACTAGAGAATCATTAATTAAGTTACTATCTTGTAAATAAAAACAAAACAAGCAGACAAGCAATGGCCAACTTCTATAAATCAATAAAAGACTAGCCATCTTCTATAAGAGAAGAACTTAGTACAATTTTTATTTTTTTTTATTGGTTAAGGAGACCTCTTTGGCCTGAAAGCTTTTATTAGGATTTGAAACAGTGTTTTATATG